AGTTTTTGTAATACAAGACAAATATGAAGTTCATGCTCTTATGTATTTTTAGAATAGATTAAAATATTATTTAGATAACAAATAAAAAAATTATTAAGAAATTCACAAAAGATATCATTTATTAGATATTTAAAAATAGCTAATATATTCATAAATCTATAAGGCATGATATTATATTTAAAATATATATACCTCATTTGAAATACAAATATTCATTCATCTTCTTTTTTAATACATACTAGGATGTATGTTCTTTATAGATCTATTTTATATATATCTTTTCTTAATTCAATTGAATAAAAAGTTCTAAAATTAAAAATAGGTGATATCTATTTTTCATAGTGATTTTATAGAATCCTTAATAATTCACACACATCTACAAAGATTTGTCTTTTTTCTTTACAAATAAGATAGGAGCCTAGGTTGGAGATTTAAAATGGTGTATAAAGTTTTTAATCAAGTTTTTATCAATATATTCCTTGAATATAGCTAACTCATTTTGTGATAAGCTATAGATTGGTCTAAATGGTAGTTGAGCTCTTTCAAAAAGATTAATGGAATAATCATAGAAATGATATTCTAAAATAATATCTTCATTCTTTTTCTTAAAAATATCTTAATAATCTTGATACTAGCTTGAAATTCTACTTGAAATCTTTTCTCTATAAAAAATAATTATGGAATATATAGAAAAACTTGACCTTTATTTTACAACATGCATAAAATGCTCTTACATCCACCAATAAGGATTTGGATATATTGGACTTATGGATTTCTATGTGACCGGTAAAATCTAGGACTAAACTATAAGAAAAATTAAGATTACAAGAATTCAAATCTATTTAAAGATTATACTTTTTTAGCCATAATAATTCTAAAATAATTGAATTAGAAAGAAATTTAATCACATAAAATATTATTAAACTATTATGATCTTTAGTTGATATATCTAAAGGATTTGTTTTATAGAAAATATGTCTAGAGGACAACAAATGACCATCTATGACTTCTACATGTACAAGTTTATTTTTCTTAATCAAAGATATTTCTTATTTTTTAATATTTTTTTTTACAAAATAAGTTGAGGCTTTTAAATCTAATAAGATAATTTTTTTTTGAATTTTTTGTCCTAAATAAATTTCTATTATAAAACAAGGTGAGAGATCTAAGGAAAGAATATAACCTTTATTATATGCTATACAAGATTTTAGTTTCATAGTCCCTATTGTAGCTGGAAAAAATGGTTTTTAAATACATTACCTTCTATGACAACTATATTCTTCATTTTTTAATTACATTACTTCTTTGAACAATGTTAAATAGGATGCTTAATTTCTTTATAATATTAACACAATTCTTTTTAACAATGTTGAATTTTTTTAATTTAGTAAGGAATTTGTAATATATCATGTCAATTTGGATAAGTTCCAGCTTTAATGAATAAGCTTTTGCACACTTAGAATTTTTCACTATAACTTGATTCATACCTCTTCAATCAAACCTTTGTTCTTGACATCTTTTAAAGAATTGATTGTCGCATAGAATAGCTTAAGCAATAAATTATTTCAATGAATCTATCTTTGGCATTATCAATATTAAAACTTTAATATTATCTTTTAAACTATATCAAATATAATAGATAAGGATTTTATCATTTCAATGTAAGTCACAAATAAGGTTTTAGAATTTTACAACGTATATGGTGACTAAATGTGATCTTTATTGTAAAAATAAGAATTTGGTCTTTGCTACTATTTCTTGATTATTTTCTCCAAATATGGCCATAAAGACTTACAAGAATGAATTTAGATCAAAAAAGAGTTCTAAATCTTTTTTCAACAAAGATATAAACCAAGAAATGCACTCTCAAATAGAGGTGCATCTATAAATCTAACTTCAATAAATCTATTAGGATATTGGAAAGGATGCAATCTTAGAAAGAGATTCACTTATTGTAAAAATCCTTAAAACTTTGATCTTGTTCTATCAAACTTCTCTAGCATGTTTATCCTTACTTCTTTTATATTTGTAAAAACAAAACTTATTGTATTCAATCATAAGTTTAATCTACTTGGTTCTTTCAATTGTACAACTTCTTGGTATAGAATCTTAATTTCATTGTCAACTTCTTCCATAGGTGTAGAAATATTACTTCTATGGTTTATATTAGAAATACATGAAATTTTGACCCTAAGAGTATTGACAAACTCGTGTAGATTTGTAATAGTTGCATTTTTTTTTTTTTTTTTTTTTTTTTTTTTTCATAAAAAGCATCTATAATTTTTTTTTATAAATAACTTAAATAAATTTAGAAGTCAAATTAAAAAAGGATAATTTGTAACTTCTAATATTAAATAAAAAATTCTATAAAGAGAGATAGTCCATTTTCTTCAAAGAAAATAATCAATGTTTAAAAAAATTAAAAGTGAGTTTAAAGGTGAATTTTCTTCAACCTTCAAAATATAATAATAGAAGTGGAATAATCTATTCATTTAAAAAAGAAAAGAAAAGAAAAAAAACAATAAATTAGCACTCTTATCAAACTGTCAAGAATATGAATTTCAAAGAACTAAAAGAACAATAAATTCTTATGTCACTCAAAAATGGTATAATATTAAAATAGAATGATTATTGCTAAAGACAAGAAGACTAAAAAATCTTAAATTGAGACTTAGGACTAAAAAAGCATTAAGAAGAATGAATAAATAAAAACTTCATTATTTTTTCTATATATACTATCTAACTATGAGCTATGTAGCAATGCTCTATAAGACCTCCAACATGTGTCTAATTTGCAAGATACATGTCTTAACTTATAAGGCACATTTCTTCTATATGTGCTATATCATTAGCTTATACCACAAGCTATCTACACATTCAACACATGTCTAACTTATTGGCTAAGTTTCTAACCTATCTATCAACTATAAACATGTATAAAATTAAGTATGTGTTTATGAAGCTTCTAAGAAGCTTTGTTACAAGGTAATATCAAATCTATCCACATGTATCTTCTATTTAGCACTTTTTATCTAAGTAAATATGTATGTTTGTAATAAATGGTGACTTTTATTTTTGTTTTGTTTCTTTATCAAATTTGATTGCAAATTTGGATGTATTTTAATAAAATTATCATTATCTAAGCAAAAAAAAAATATTATATCAAATTAACAACATTTTTTATATCCAAAAATAAATTATCTATCATAATTCAATGCCATAAGGGTTTTTTTTTTTTTTTTTTTTTTTTTTTTTTTTTTAAGATGATTTTATTTTAAACCTTTTTTTTAATAATTCTTTGTTTTATTCATAATATAAATCTAATAATTAATTATATTAATAGAATTAACTTATTTTAATTCAAATAATATTCTAAATTTTATTGAAGCTTTTGAGATTACAAAGCAAGTACAAGACAATAATCTATAAGACCAAACATATTACACATAATAATTTTAAAAAATAAGTTGTTTTATTTATTCAGCTAGCATCATACATCCTTTGGCCTAGGACTGTTCTACCTTGCAATACTATTGCTTGGGAATAATTAAGCACTATGCTAATTGTCAACTAATTTATTGTATTTCTTCCAATTCTTAAATATTATTCTATCTTGTTGCATCCTTGTTAAATTTGGCCACACCATAATAACTCTTTATTTCCTCACTTACTATTCTATTCATGCCAAGCCATTGAATTACTTCAATTGGTATCATCTATAAGTGGATATAGACTTCTTCAATAAGTAATACATTTGCTGACAAATGCAACCACTTCAAGCATATAACACTAAGGTTAAAAAATCAATACATAATATAAACTTAATTTAAAGATGAAATATAAATATATTTAGCTTATTTCAAAATAAAATCTATTATGAATCTATTATATAATAGGCTCGTTTTTTAAATCTCTTTTGCATTTTGAAGTATTAAATGATGATTTATGTATTAATCTCTACTTTAATAAGTTTTTTAAGTATTTATAATACTAATAATAAAAATACTATATGCCTCTATTTTATTATTTCTTTTTTATGATTTACTTGTTATATGTTGTCAAACAATAACTTTTTATTTTATTTTATTTTATTCTAATATTATAATAAATTTTATATAAAAATTAAATATAATTATAAATATTTATATTTAAATTTATTTAATCTTCAATATCTTATAATTTTTTAAAATATTAATTTATATTACTTTTGTATTTTACAAAGACATAATTGATAAATTATTCATTTTTTAGAATTTGCATTAGATTTGAAATACTTTCATTATATTATATAATATGTTAATAAATTATCTTTTAACATTTTGACTTGAAAAATAAGAGGTATATATATATATATATATATAACGTATTTGTCTTTTAATAAATTCTATACTTACTTTAGAAAAATAATACTTTGATGAGAATATCTTCTCAATTAAAATGAATATTTTTTTTCTCTGAAATCATTCGATTAGTCTATTGTAGAATTAAAAGACTATTAACACAAAACACTTGATTCTAACAAGTCTAAAAACTACTCAGGACAAACATCAAGTAGTATTCTAAGAACGATTTGTACAAAATTTACTCATATCTAGTGTATAGATTTATCAAGATAAGCAAATTATTAAATTCTTAATATGCATTCTGAAAATTAAGTTACATATAACTATTTGAAATAAAAATAAAAATAAAAAATGTAAATCATTACACTCAAATAATTCAAATTCCATCCGCTTTTCCTAAAATCATATACACATATATAAAAACATGTGAATTCTACACTACAAAAATGAAACAGAAAACAATGATCAATTCTCACTATAATGTCAATTTTTTTAATTAACAAATGTATTTGGTCGTGTGTGGAAGAAATCGAATTTACAAATCATTTACGCCAAGGTGGAAAGATCGGGTTTAGTTCAAATAAAGTATAAAAACAAAATATACATGCAGAACAGAAGCGATACTCAAGCAGGTATTGTCTTTCCCGCTTTAAATGTCTCCGCATCCAGCGAGCGGAGTGATCGAGGATGAGGGGAACCATTTGGGCAGATATTGAGGAGGATTAGTTGTGCAGTATTCTATTTGGTGATGCGAGGGCGTGCGTGTGTGGCGAGGGTGTTTATATAGAAAGCTTCAGCAAAGTGGGTGAGGGAGGCATCTCCTTCCTCGCCTTGGTGGAGGTAAGTTTCATGAGTTGCGCCAGGTTTACAGGAGACGAAGGAGGAGGCAGAAGAAGAAGAAGAAGAAGAAGAAGAATTCACCTCCATCACCACCTCCGCGACAACGTGGATCAGCTGCAGGCAGCTTTGCCTCACCGGAGCATCGACGACGCCAGGCGATTTGAAGAAGAAGAAGAAGAGAAAGAGGTGGTGGAAGTGGAGGTGATGGTTCCGCTCCTTCTTCTCGTCTTGGTTGCCCCTTCCTTGCCTGTTTCCTTGCCTGTAGTCGCCGTGTTTGCATAGGAAAGGAGCACAAGGGCGGGGATGACGAGGCGTAGATTGGCATTTTTGTCGCTCATGGTGTGTATGTGCATGTTTGTGTGTGTGAAAGTGAGAAAGAAAGTGAATGTGCGAATGGAAGGTCGTTTTATTGGCATTGTTACTCTGATTTGCTCGCCACAGCCGGTTGTGCGACAACAAAGGTGGTGAGATGCAAGTTGTTGGCCCAGAGCTGAGGTTGGAGGCTTGGTGTGGTGTTTGTCTTAGGTGAGAGCGGTGACGGGGAAGTGTGCGGTGAAGAGTGGTGTTGATGCATCGTAGTCTGCGCGTTGGAAGAGGAGCGAGGATTGAAGATTAGTTCTGGTAGGTTTGCATGTGAAGGAGCTTGCTGTGTTTTGCCAGACAATGATGTTTTTTCAAGTCTGCAATGGATTAGGGATTTCTGCTTGTGCACTAGCTGGAGCGTTTGTTTCACGCGGCTCGATCGATGATTTGTCTTGCTGGTTTTCTCGTTTCCGCTTGCTGCGGGAATGGTTGGTCTATTTTTGGTTCCTCTTCTGCCGCTTTTGTTGCTAAGATTGCCGTAGTTGGAGCCAGTTGTCCGTGGCGCCTTGGACGACTGTTTGCTAGTGTGAGCATTCTTGTGTGCATTGAAATTTGGACGTGAGGAAGGACTTCCTCTCTGTAGGAGCTATTTCTGCTCGACTGAGATCATTTTTCTCTGGGATCGTGTCGCGAAAGTGCTGAATAGTAGTTGCATTGAACTTTAGTGTTGATCGCACGCTGTCAACTACTTCGTCTTCAAATGTAAAATCTAGCCTTGTTTTACTTGTTAAGTTTCAGTTTCCATTAAACTTTACCTTCACTTGACTATTCGAGGTTCAATCTTGACTAGCTCTTGATGTTGAACTTCTTTTCAGCAAACCCGCAATGGAGGCCATTCCTCCTGTTCTTCATTTATTTACTCCTTTCTTTCATTTACGATTAGTATCTGAGTGAGCTTTCAAGCTTTGGTAGCCATTATCTTTTCTCAAGTGGGATACGTATCTTTTCGCTCTAATATCTCAACATTAAGATTCCCCTACAGTCTCCATTGACTTCTCTTCCGAACTCTTATTTGTGAATCCTTAAGATCGTTCGTAAGTATTTAATATGCGTTAGGTAACAGTGTCGGTCTCGCATGGCAAGGTATTCACTGAAGCAGCTTCTGCTTCGTAGTTTCATTTAGTATTATTCATCTTTTTTCTCCTGTTTACATTTTCGGCTAGCGTTTCTCCCTCACAGTTCGTAAGCGCTTGAACATTATTATATGTTGCTTTATTTTATTTCATCTCTTTGTATCACCCATTATGCAGTTCTTTCCCTGTTTGCAACCTGGTCCTGCCGTCCTGAACTTACAATTAGAATTGAATTTGTTATTCAGGTTGGGCAGGTTCCTCGTGTTTATCAACTAATCTAGATTGTACCATGGTCTTTTGGTCCCACCACAGACTATACTTCTCCAATTGCTGTGTTTGATGCGCACTTCACATGTAGTTGGAAAGAACTAGACTGCATTAGGGATATTGCATTTCCCTCCCCCCCCCTCCTTAAGCTACAGAGGTTGCCTTATCTTGAATAATGTTCCCGTTAGAAAGGAATAGTAGACCATGCAGTCTTTAAGCAATGTGCTGAGCCGTGACATTTCTTTTATGTTACAGATTTTTTGGGGTCTCATTGGCATTACGAACTTCGTTGTGACTTCAGTTCTTCATCATCTTTCGGAATCAAACTGCAGGATCCTGTCATCGCGGCTATTCTGGAATTGCGGGATTCCTTTTCTGACAAAGGGGACCTTATCTCAGCATACTCAGCTGTCAGTAACGTACCTATGTACTTGAAACGGAAGTTTACTGATCGTGGAATATATTCCTCGGTGCAGCCGGGATTGGAGCAAGTTATCAAGTGGCATCCGTCTGCAGCCTGTATTACCAGTTGTCAATGAAGTCAGTTTTATGGTAATGACGCAGTAAAGTCTTGAGAACAGAAGATATATCAATAGCATTACTCATCAGGAGACAAACTTGATGATGTGTTATTTTGCCTAAGCAGAAGCTGGTTAAGAGGTCGACGGGGTTCCAGTATAGACCTGACTGTTTTTCATGTAAACAGTCTTCCCCCTCCCACTCTCTTCTCCAACTCCCAAAATAAAACATTAAAAGAAAACATAGTGACTTGTTTGGTATTGGAGTTCGTAGCAACATGGTGACTGGGATGAGATTTCAGATGTATGCCCTATTGTGGCCGACATTGATGTTCTCATTGGTGACGGGAATGGCGGTCGGAGTAGTGCCAGAAACAAGCCAGGTTGGGTCAAAGGATCAACCAACGTTCGTTCGCCATTTTTGGTCTACTTCCGACAAGCACCATTACAAGTTGTCTCAGGATGGCGAGGGGGCTGAACTTGTCTTGGATCAAAGTTCAGGTAAGTCACTTGAAGAGTATTGATTCATTGATGCAGTTTGTGTCGCATCGCTTTCTCAGATGTCTAGAGCTTTATAATAGGTGCTAAACTCAGTGTTGTGGGTTGGCATAAAACTGATCTAAAAACAGAAATTAATTTTGTCATTAGTTAACTGTTGCAATTGGAAGTTTTTGATCCTGATTTTATTTATTTATTTATTTCTTTCCTGAAGCAACCTTATTGTCGCTGTCTCGTGTCTTTCTCCCATACAATAGTGTCAATCTGCTTAACTGACCATTGCAGATTCTGATCTTCTCTTAATGTTTTCAGCTGCTGGTTTTGCCTCTAAAACGAGGTACTTGTTTGGGCGCGTAAGCATTCAAATGAAGGTTCATCCAGGTGATTCAGCAGGCACCGTCAGTACATTCTATGTAAGTTCTCTTTCTCCTGAAGGATTTTTACATGCAGCTCATCATATCCACTAAATTTTCTGCGACGCATATTCGCAAATAACTCTAATCTGATTGGCCTATACTTCTCTCCTTGATACCGTTCAGTTGAAAGAGTTTGGTAACGGTGCTGAGTTGAAATCTTGCCGTTCGTGTCGAAGAAAAGTCCTCACGCTGACATGCCTACTTGATTTGTCTCGACAGACTTCCTCTTTGAGTGGAAAGCATGACGAGCTTGACTTCGAATTTCTTGGCAACCAACCTGGGAAACTCTACGTCCTGCAGACTAATGTGTATGCCTCAGGAGTCGGTGACCGTGAGCAGCGTATCCGACTTTGGTTTGACCCCACAGAGGATTTTCACACGTATGAGATCCACTGGAACAAAGAGATAGTCATGTAAGTTGACAAGTCGTTGCTTCTTATCCTTATGTTCTTTGTTTTACCCTCCCTGTGATTAAACCTTCCTGGTTGATTATAGTCAAGAACAGCAACTCGCTTCTGTGGAAATCATATGGAAATTACTATGGCCGTATGCCTGCCGTTTATAACAAGTTATGCGTCAACACAGCTTCATGGTGGACGACACACCCATCAGAATTTATAGAAACAACGAAGATCTGGGTGTTCCGTATCCTTCGCGTCAGGCTATGAGCGTGTTCGCAAGCTTGTGGAATGGTGAAGAATGGGCTACCCAAAATGGAGCCATCAAATTAAACTGGAGCAACGCACCATTTGTACACATCTGCACCCTATTCGTTTGTATCTTTAGGGTTACTGAAGATAATTACGTTGAGCTTGTTTGCACTAGAGCTCTGATTTATGTTAATGGAAAAACTTTGCGATGCGTCATGGCTGTAAGTTCGCAGCATCTTCCCTAACAATTTGTGGATCCCACAGGTAGCTGCTTACCGAGGCTATGAAGTCGAAGGATGCGAAGTTCCCTGGTACAAAGGGGATATTAAGTACTGCCAATCATCAGATACCGATTCCATGCTAAGGAGAGCCACCATCCACAATTTAACAACTAGGCAGCAAGCACGGTTACAATGGGTGACAGAGAATCTCTTAGTGTATGACTACTGCAAAGATGTTTACCGATATCCAACACCTCATCCGGAGTGCAGTCGCAATTCAGGACTTCAAATTATTGGTCCCCAGCCTCTTAAGCACCTAGATGGGTTGAAGGTTCTTGAGAACTAAATCTTAAAGTTAGGGCGCCTGACTGTAAAACAAATGTACTTTATGAGAACCTGATCTAAGAACTAGGCCTGATTTAACTGGCAATTGCCTTAAGATAAGAGTCGTGTACAAGAATACTGTAGGTTGGCTATGAAACTTGGACTCGAGTGAACCTCAGTCGGAAACTGTGAGGCTTATGAAAATATTTGAGGAAATATTCTGTAGTTCGTTAAGGCGGGAGACCTGCATAAGCTCTCTTTCAGCAACTTGATCAGGGTGTTTCAAGATTACAGGTATGAATTTAATTTGTCTGTTCGTATTAGATACAAGAAATTGCTTGAAGTCTTCTTTTCGTTTGTGTGCTTTCCGGAATACAGTCGGATTACATCCTGCTTAATCTATTTTTTCATTTTCTTTCGATTTCAATTTCATTTTTTATTTATGTTTTGATTCTAGAACCAGTTTACCTTGACGAAGTTTACCTTGTGATTCAAACACCATAAAATGACCGTTGTTGCGTCCCTTCCAGATTCGACTGCCTGTGTTTGATGAACTCACTGTCAGAAGTTTGACATTAATGATTGCTATCTTGCAGGACTTCGACACTGATTTTCAGTAACGTTGCAGCTTAAATAGGAAAGGACTCAATAACAGAGAACAGATCTCTGCGTCAATTTTGCACTAGATAATTTCACCTTTTAGATTAGTCTAGAGAATTATCCAAAAAAATTCAGATCATTGTAAAATGATTGTCACTACATTTTTTGGGGGTTATTAGCGCCCCTCTTGACATGGAAACTAGCTTCGATTTCTCACTACTTATTCTTGTCATTGAACTCGGAAACACATTTTACCTCATATTATTTTATCTCGGAGTGTTCATAAAACGTTTAGAAGCTTCTTGCTTGTGATCATCAGTTTATTATTATGTGAAATTGATCTTAATTGGGGTTTCAGTCCGCCTTGGAAATCAAAACTTGTCAGGAACTGTTAAGTCTGGTTCATAATCCAACTTACAAATCTAAGAGAATTTTTGTGTATGCATGTACTCAAAAATGTATATTCATCAGATAATAATTTCAAATTCTGATTTGTGTTTCTTCATTTTATGTCATTGCGCACATTTTTTTGTGGAATTTAAGTATATCTGGTTTGCATATACATACATACACTAAATTGGTCTTGGAAATATGTTCAAAATGTGTAATAGTAAATAAGAACCTAGAAGATGGTTGGTTGAATTTCAAAACATAAACAGAAAAGTAAAAAACTGTTTAAAAGAAAACAACTATTTAAAAATGTTTTCAGTGTCTAAATCCGTTATGTTGTCAAATGTAGTTATATCAGAAGGAATGTTTTTATATAGATGACCAATTGTTCAAATCATGAAGTTTTGAATTCAATCCAAGTGATATTTGATCCATGTCTTGAGTTAAAATTGTTCACTAAAATAGGATTAGATGAGAAAAATTAATACACTCATAGTAGATAGAAGAAATAAAATAAAATGGGAGATAGAAATCCCATAAAAATGTTAGAAACCACGAGTAAATGAATTGGAAAGTGGACACAATTTGGACTACTATTATATGCTAAATTAAATAAGGAGTTGAATTAATCCAAGTCTTGATACATAGCCACTATAGGAATCAAATTGTAACAAGCAGTCATTAATTGGAGGAGATCCACAAAGGTGATGGACAATCCCATATAAGATATGCAACCAATTTGAGGTAGTCTGACTTAAATACTACTTTATTAGAACAACAAAACAATGGAGCATAGAGTGATGACCAAAAATCTAAGCACATGGTGCTAAAAATCTAAATTGTCTCTATTTAGAAAAATGAATGTGCAGAATGGCCATTGAGAATACATACAAATACTACAAACTCAAAAATAGGTCAATCTCAACATTCTATATTAGAAAAATATTCTAATTGAAGGCTTAGAGTAACTTTTTACTTTGCTATCAATTTCAAATCCAAAACCAATTCTCATTCTAATACTTCTTCTTTGAATCTATCTTTTACATATACTTAATTCATGTGAGTTTCATCAATAGATCTTAATTAGCGAAATTGTTAAAAATATAGGTTTTAATTATTTAAATATAAAATATTAATATTTGAAAGTTTTTTCAATGATTTAAGTATTTATTAGAATTTAGAAATGTTTATAGGCTACAAGTCTTATTAGAAAAAACGTTTTAAAAATAAAAACTTAGTAAGTCTTGGAAGTAATTAACTTAGTTAATTTAGTATTTTTACTTATTATTGAGTATTAAGAATTAATTATTAAGACCAATGTTTATATTGGCATTCTACCTACATTTATTACTTATTAAAAACCTATAAATATTAAGTAGTAGTTAGAAGAAGCATAAGAAAGAATCTCATATTTTTTTAATTATTTATATTTGAGATAGGATTTTTAGTTGATTTAAATTTATTTTATTTCTATAAAAAATTACCAAGATAGAAAAATATGGCTTTAATTTGATATTAACATTATAAAATATTATGATAATATATAAAACTTATTTAGAATTTATTTAGATTTTTTAAGTATTTTTTAGAGAAAATTTCAAGACTTTGATAAAATTGAGTTTTTACCACCTTAGGAGCTATTACAAAGAAATGGAACAAGATTTGAAGGCCATATAATGTTCTTAGGCTTATTGGGTGTTTTTAAACACCATGGTAAAGTCAAAATGCAAAAAGTTGAATTTTATTAGTATAAAATAGGAAGATTAACAACTAGTCTAGTAGGAAGGGAGGTACACAAGTTCCATATGGATTGTAGTATTTTGAAAGTAGTTAGGAAGATAAGACTAAGGCCTCATATCATCACTTAGAAATCCAAATACACTACATGTGAGCCTTGGTGAGGCTCAAATTTTTTATCTATAAGCAAATTATCCTTAAGGTAAAATATTTTTATGTATCTTTTTATTTATTTATTTGCTATATTTAAATCTTCATAACTTATTCATAGTAACTAAAATCTACATGTCCTTATATCATTACAAAGCTAAAAAAATTATGTTTTTTTAATTTTTAATTTTTAATTTTTTTACTTTTTATTGCATAAAAATTTAGAGAATAATTTTTGACCTAGTTTTGGATTGTATAATTACTAGATTTCATTTTTTTTCACTTTTTTTGTATTTTTTCTTCTTTTGTTCTTGTTATTTGCTTCTTTCACCTTATACCACCAATTACAAGCAACTCTTAATTGAGGCCATCTTCTGATTTGGATTGAGGGGTGGAATTTATCTTTACAATTCTACACCTTTTTTTTTATTAAAATTATTCTTATTAAAATTCATAAAATTTTAATATTGAGGCTTTTGGCCTATATATTATTTGAAGAAGTTATAATTAATATCTTTATTCTTACTTAACAGTACTAACACATTTATTTTAAATTCTAAGTTCAACTTATTTTTCATAGTTAGAATAGGTTTTATAAGATTATCTTTTTAGTATCCACCTAACTTTCTTGTATATGATGTTGCCAATATTAATAAAATATTGACTACTTGCTTCAAAAATTGAAGACTAAGGATACATTGTATTCTTAATTTTTTTATATATTAAATCAAGATTGGAAGAAAACTTGTCACAATACCATCTTATATGATATTCAATAATATGAAATTGGTATAACTTCTTGAATATGATAGTCATGCCCTCAATCAATTCTATCTTTACTAAAAAACTTTTATGCACTTCTTAATATAAACTCTAAGTCATTATTTCAACATCTTCTTTAGAAGAAATTGATTTGTAAGCTTTATTCATAGATGTCATATCAATCTTTTTAAATATGTATTTACAAGAACATACATTTCCAATCAACATTTGACTTGTTTATATATGTAGAATATCACACATATATCAATGAAAAAATGTTTCAATGTATTTTCAATGAAGATCTTTTTGATCCTTGTCAACATGAGCCACTGTCATCCTTCTTCCCTTCATAGCTCCTTATTTAGCTTTTGTTGTCCTTCTTCTTTTCTTTTTATAATACTCTATACTATTTTAAAATCTTAGGATGTACCTTCCTTAGGTTGCTTCTCTTGATGCTTTAGGTGCCAAAATTTTTAATCATTCTTGCTAACTTAGCTATTTCTTGGCAGCACACCAAATTCCTCCTGAAAATTTTATTATGTTCTTACAACTATCCCTCATTGAAGAAATTTAATTTGATGTTGACTTGTCTCTATTCCTCAATTATCCTGGCAGTATCATTGTTTCTTTGCTACAAAGCTTCTACCTTTATTCACTATCTATCGAAAGCCTTTTTAGATATATATATATATATATATATATATAATCTCTTATAACAACCAGAAGCTTATTTAAAGTTAGGTCCTTCAACAACTCCTCATTTGTTTTTGACTTCTCTTAAGTGCAATTTTGTGGAATTGAGTGAATTCTTTTTGCTACTCCACCATCTTTTCTAATTCTATGTGTATTTACTTTAGAAGATCTTTTCTAATCAATATTTAGTTTGAAGAAGCTTTTCTTTTAATTTTAGTTATTTTAGGTATTTATTTAAAATTTATTTAGAATTTAATTAGGAATTTTTAGATCAATTGATAAGATGTTGATAAAATAAATAAATTCACTTTGAAAGGCCATTGTGAAGAATTGGAGTAAGATTTGAAGATTTTATTAATTTATTAAGCTGATTGGATATTTTAAAATACCACAATAAATTTAAAAATAAAAATATTAATAGAAAATAAAAGGACCAATAGCTACTGTAGTCCTTGTAAAATGATAGGTGCATATATTTCATATAAATTAAAGCAACTTAGATGTAGATAGGAGAATAAGATTAGGACCTTGTGGCCTCTTTAAGAGACCCTTATAAACTATTTGTGAACCATGATGAAGATCAAATCCTCAAACTTTCAAGCAATTTATCTTTGAGGTAAAACATATGCAATTAATTTATATCTATATATATATATACATATATATTATTTTTAGATTATCTTAACTTATTTATATTAACTTGGATTATAATATTACTTATATCATTAATAAAATAAAAAGTAATTATCAAAAATATATTATTTATTTTTATTTTTACAAAATAAAAATCTAATGAACAAACTATGATTAATTTTATAGTATGTATTTTCTTGATTGTAATTTTTTATTTCTTTTGAATTTTTTTGAATTTTTTTTCTTATTATTATTATTATTATTTTTTACAATCAATTATAAGAAATTTTTAATTGATTCTATTTTATAATTTGGATTGATGGATAAATTTTACCTTCATTTAGTCAATTCAATTTTCTAAGTCCAAATAGAAAAGATAAAATTAATGTATAAAGAAAAAGGTCATATTATTCTAATCTTTATAATTGCAATACAATGTTTTCAAAAAATCTGCAATATTGAGGTTGTATGTCTAAATACTTGTAAAATCTTCTTCTTTTAAATTCAAAAAGTTTTAGAAAGTTAAAAGAAACTCATAAAGAACACAAAGCTCTAATTTAGTACCACCTTTTAATATAAATACTTTATTAATTTTTAAATTATTTTTCTTATATTAATTCTAAAAGCTAAATTTGATTCATTGTGACAATAAAATCTATTATCTAATTTAAATTAAAAATATCTTTAATTAAGAATTTTTTATAATTGATAATATAAAATGAAAAAATCAAAAAAAAAAAAAAAAAAAAAAAAAAAGTAAAAGACATGTAATAAAAGAATTACTTACTCCAAAACTTAGTCATAGTTTGTTTATAAAGTTTTTATTTAATTAAAAAATAAAATTCTTATTTATTGATAAATAGTTTTGTTATTTTTTTAATAATATAAAAAATATATAAATCCA